GGGGGGGGGGGGGGGGGGGGGGGGGCGCGGAGCGCCTTACTATACCTATCTCCATATATACATATATATATATATATACATACATATATATATATATATGTGTTTGTGTGTGTGTGCGCGCGTGTTTACAGGGACGAGCCCTGCAACCCTGAGATTGATTAAGGCTTGCAGCGTCGAAGGACCAGCTGCAAGCGCTGGATCAAGACCTTGTTCGGCTGAACCCTGAACTGAGGGTACCTAAACCCTAAACCCTAAACCCCTAAAACCCTAAACCCCTAAACCCCTAAACCCCTAAACCCTGCACCCTAAACCCTGAGCTGAGGGTAGCCTGCAGATCTTCTCACATCGCCCCAGGGCGACGGAGCGCATGGAAGCCTCCGCTTCTTGAGGTTGAGCGCAGGTGGGATGAGCTGCGCAAGGGTTTAGGGTTGTGGGGTTTAGGGTTTAGGGTTTGGGTGTAGGGTTTAGGGTAGATTCTCGTAAGCCGTCTCTTTTTTCAATTCCAAAATCACAAGCCGCTGCCTGCTACCTGCAACAACGAAAACTGCAATGTGAACCCAAAAGACTCTTGGATTTGGCGGAACAGGAGCGACAAGCATGCCATGAATAAAACTGCGCTGGTGCCGGTGCTGCCCTTGTTCTTAGTTGCCTCCACTTCAAGTCTTTCTCACAACTTCGCACCTCCGTCTCATCGCGCATTCCAGCCTGCTGGCGTCATTGAACGGATCATCCCAAGCTCAGGATCTCGCTTGAACTATTTTGGACTACTTCGGGCTTGAAACTGAAGATCTAGTGACTTGGGTTGCGCTGTTTTTGGCAAGGTCCTACATTCCCAATGACAGCGTGTGGTGCACAGCGAAACAAGCCAACTTGTGCTGAAGGTGCAAGATGAATGCGCGGTACGTACTCCAAAGCTTTTAAAAGCCCAGTACGAAGGGACCCACGCGCACAGCGGCCTGGCGAAAGTAGACAGGCGCCAATGTGTTCCAGGTGAGCACGCTGAAGGTCGAACTGGCACCTCTCCAAAAACGAGCCGAGCAGTCACGTGAGAGAGGATACTACCCCTAATTCCCCAACCCTAAACCCCCGAACCCCTGGGACCCCAAATCCCATAACTCCAAACTGAACAACTTTGGCCCCTTGTTCCTGCCCTTATGACGTCCAGCCTGCCATCGCGACGGATGTCCACAGGCGGGAGCGCCTGCGAATACACTGCTCTCACACTACGTACAAACATTCAACAGGAACCTCTACGCAAATATGCATCATGGTGGGTGGAGAGGTGACCCTGACAGAAAATGGAGAAGGCCAAAACAGGTGCGAACACACGAACAAGCACAGAATTGCGGACAAATCGACGAAAACATGCCAAACAGGGCTTAGGGGTATGTCATGGAACATGCTAGAGTCGGCTGGAAGCGGGTGCTACGCACACCGGCTGTACTTAGAGCTAAAGCGGAGCCACATGTCTGAGCTCTGCCGAGAGAGAAGACTCGATCCTTGATAGCGTCTGGACATACGAGTAGAGGCCACGCCGTGGCAAAATGCCAACCGAAGCATCCACAGCAAGGTCGAAGGGCCGGCATCTTCGAATGCAAGTAGCTCTGCGGCCTTGACAAAGGCCCACTGCCGCGCATGCACGTGACATGGCACAGCCAGGCCGGCACGCTTACTTAGCAGCAAGGCACAGCTGCCAGGGGCATATGCCAAGGAAGGCTTTGATCTGAAGTATGCCGTTGTGCTTGACGGTGAGCATGATGTTGATGATTGCCGGTACTGCTACGTCGCGAGCACGACTGCACGCCCACGACTGCGACTACTCCTCTCCTTCTGCTGCTGCCACTACTAATTCCGCTACTACCACCACCACTATCACCCCAATAGCAATACGACGCCTACTACTTGTTGCTACAGGCTACAGGTGTGAGACTCGCTATCAATGTCACGGCACGTTCACACAAAGAATGAGAATGCTGTCACCACATGCGTGATAGTCATACTGCTCAGGTACTATATGCCTTCTCTATCTCACAAGCTCAGGCTCTGGGATTTCGAGCTGTGGGCCACAGTGATTTTCGACTGCACGAGTCAAAGCAGGCGAATTCATGGCATATTATCATGTTTTTTGGTTGAAGATACCGTCCGGCTTTCACTGTCTTCGTGGTTAGGCACTTTCAGTCATCCGACTGCTGCTTGCTTCTCATCCACGGGAATGGCTGATGAGCTCTTGCCGAGGTCATGCGTGTTATTTTCATATTCATTCTACCTGCATTGCTGCCCCCTTGCTTATTCCACAGGAGCAGAGGTTGAAGCAACATCTGGCTGACAGCTCTCTGCCTCACTTCTAGCTCGACTTTGCTTTCAGAGTGCATTGGATGCAGAACACGCTTGCATCCGAAGATGTACCAACAAGTGGTTGCGCACAGCCGTGTCGTGAAGAATCAAGAATTTCACCCGAAGATTCCCGCGCTCGCCTCTTTCACCCGCAGGCCGTAACACCACTGGACCAGACCAGAAAACACCGCAAACCCTACAAAATCGTCGTGACGGCATACGTTGGCCGCCTTGAATTCACATGCTCGACTTGGAGGTTCATGAGTAATTACATTCTAGCATCTTACAACCTGCATTCGGTTAGTAGGGGACCGATAACCCTACTTATACGGACCCATAACTGCCGTAACTACCCATGAACACTGTAAACCGTCAACCCCAAACTCATATCAGGGGACTTATAGCTCCACCTAAGGATCTATAACTACCCATGAACCTCCTAGTACTGCCGAAACCCGAGGTTCCAAGGTGGGAGATCACAGCCACTGGCAGCAACCAAACATCGAGGTCCCTTTCAGAACCCCACACTTGGGGTGTAGAGTCTAGCGTCAACTGCAAACCCTACCAACCCCAAACTGCAGACTTCTTCACCGTCAAACGAGAAAAACCTTCTTTAGGGAGGCGGCACTCGACTCGGAACCCAGAATCGGCGAAGTCGAAGACAGGATCCGTCTGTGGACTGAAATCTCTTCTGCTGCATCACCAAACCCAGGTTCAGGGAAGCAGTCTAAGGATTTCGGTTAAAGGCACCCGATCACCGCAAACCGAGGCATACATGCAATACCCGACGCCATCGCAGCAAAAGACCACAACAACCCACAAGCGCTAAGATACCTGGTGTTGAAAATGGATACGAAAATATGGAGAGAGGAGGATTTCAGCTGCGGATGCAGGGTTCTCTCTCGCTGCTTTGCATCCGCTCAAATCCCTTCGGACAAGGGCAATAAGGAGAAAGGATGTCAATGGGGAGGACCCCAATACAAACGTCAAGTAGTGCGACCCCAATAATATAATAAGGACTCTCAAAAACTGTCCCTAAATGATAAGAACCTGGCCAGCCAAATATTTGGTGGTCCAAATCAAGAGACATGACAGACATACTGCGTGAGCTCTCCTCCCCCTCCCAAAACGCTCAGCCGAGCTGCTGTTCATTTGCAAAGCAAGTGCGGGGCTCTATGGAATCCCAAAGCAAAGTGGCATAATTCCTAGATTTAGGCCTGAATCTCCAAAGGGTTTTTAGGGCCACCTATACCTTCGCACCATGGGAAGGTTTTGGGCTGTAGGCGGTAGACCGCGGACTCGTATAATCGATCTATCTCCTGGAGTTACTCACCCGACTGATCGGCCCTCAAATATGCCATCCTGAGGTGGGATCAGCGCGATGCGCTCAGCCACTGAGCCTTGCATCAAGCCTCCTCGTGGGAATCAGAGCTGCCAGCATCAGTTAGCAGCCCGTGAAATCAGAGATGGAACGGCGCACCTGAAGCTCGCGGCTCGGCTTCCGCTTCAGGTACTCATGATTCATATATGGGTATAGTTCTCTAAATTAGAGTCCCCTTTTAGATCCCCAATCCAATACGGCACCCTTATTAAAAAGGACCCTAAAGGGGACCTAAATTTAGAAAACTACCCATATTATGACTGCACAGTATGTTCGGGTTATGGCATGGCACTGCATCACTGCAGCAGCTCTTCTTATAAAACTGGTATGGACTATTCCGCAGCAGCGCGGAAACTACGAGTAGCACCCAGGAGATTGAGTTGCAAGGGTGAGCCCCACAGCTTGGACGCGCTGGGTTTCGAACAGTTTAGGGCTTGGAGTTCTTGTTGCTCAGGGAGCGTGCGCTTAGGGCTCTTTTGATTCTTGTCACCGACAGAGCAAGAGAGAGAGAGAGAGACAGAGAGAGTTTGTAACATCTTTTCACAGAGAGAAAGAGAAAGAGAAAGAGAAAGAGAAAGAGAAAGAGAAAGAGAAAGAGAAAGAGAAAGAGAAAGAGAAAGAGAAAGAGAAAGAGACACAGAGAGAGAGAGAGAGAGCGAGAAAGAGCGAGAGAGAGTCTGTGTGTGTGCGTGGGTGGGGGGCTTTGGGTTCGGTTGTGAGATCTGGGGCTTAAGCGCTGAACTCTCCAGGCTTTACATAGGAAATGCGAGGCATGCAACATAACAGCATGTAGAGGGCTGTGCGACATCGAACAGCATGCATCCGGCCAATGGCATCTGTAACTCTCTGGTACTGCTGATGGACAAAAACCTGCATGACCCAAATATAGTTTAGCACCATAAATCCCATAGTTTAGGTATATAAGGTCATGCAGGATTTTGTCCATCAACCGTATCATGCCTTTTGCTTTCAGAAGGGGTTGAAAGCCTCTTGAACAGCCTCTTGGCTTCCGGGCATTCAGGGATCCTAAGCACATCCCTGACACCAGGCAGTTCACGGATGCTTTGGTTCGAAATATTTATATAAGGCAATTTAGGGGATATAATGGGTATCTCTTGACCACACCACCCAGTGGGATTGAAATCCTAAACCCTAAACCCTAAACCATCATGAAGGGTCTGAAGCCAGATCGGCCGCGGCGCTGGCGATGGTGGCCTCCAGTCCCCAACAGTTCGCAAGACCGTCTGATGGCAAAGAGATGGAGCTCTGATGAACGGCTCAAAATATTGGGGTCTGGGCCTACTACGGTCTAAGGGACAGAGCAAAATCTGATTTCCGAGCTCCTACTAGTACTGCTGTCATGCAACGGCGTCTTCTCCACAGCAGGTCCGTCAGCTGGTACGTCCTCCATGTTTGGTTGTGGCACGTTCGGATTTGATAGTTTAGGGTGTTCCCTTTTTCGTAAGCCTCAGAACAACCTGTAGGAGTATTTCTGCTATGTTTGCCTCCGCAGCACACAGGGATAGATAAACAAGTGCACGAATAGGCAGAGAGATCGCATGTAGGGCTTAATTACGGTCTTTGCACAACGTGGGATGTCGATTTGCAGGACTGAGAGCTTCTGTAGGTTTTGGACCCTGTATTTCATGAACTCAGGGTGTAGGCTTCTCGTAATCTGCGGGCGTTCCCTGGTTCAGCCAGGTAATAGCATTTAGGTTTCGGAGAATCAGCGATGTCGTTGATCCTCCGATTTCGGTCTTTTGGGGTGTGGAGTGTCAGGTGTTGGTAGGATTTGGGGTCAATATGAGCCTGAGGCGGCTACTTGGAGGTTCATGGGTAGTTATAAGTGGGGTTATAAGTCCCCGAATTAGGGTTATAATTATGGTTACCCTACTTATAACCCCACTTATAACGACCCTAAACCCTACAAACCCTAGAGAACCTTTAAAGGAACCCTATAACCCCACATATAACTGCCCATGAACCTCCAAGTAGCGCCCTTCCCTGGCCTGCGGTATCTTCTCCTCCGAGCGGGAGGGTGCCTGACGAGCTGGGGAAGTTGAGGGTCCGTCTCCCAGAAAGCCCCATACCCCTTAATTAAGGAATATACCTTAAATCATAACATGAAGGCCCCTAATTTAAGCTATATATTCCTGAGTTAAGGGGTATTGGGCTCTCTGGGCTTGCAGGGCTCAGGGCTCAGATTCGTAGGAACTACAAAATGTACATGGGTAGTTCTCTAAATTAGGGTCCCTTTTCGGGTCCTTAAGTATAAGGGTGCCGTACTATATTGGGGACCTAAAAGAACTACCCACATACGCCTGGGTAAAGGTTGATCTATACACGGTTGCGGGATTAATCGCGCCGCAGAGATAGTGCCGCAGCAGGAAGCCCATGGAAGTACTGGCAGATTGCAGACCCGGGTTGTTACTACGGGGCAGGGATTTGTGCTTTAATTTATACACGACAAGCATCTTAAGCTATCACTCAGTATTCAGAGACCTCCATATTACCTCCCTACCCATGGGCCTCATAGTAATTCCTTTTTGGGAGTCCCTGATAGGATCCTAAATATAAGCCACATCAAGGAACTACTATGGGGCCTATGGGTAGGCAGGGGCTGTCCAGAAGAACAGCCGCAGGGTTGCGGCTGAGAGCTCCAAGCCGGCTGATCCCCGATGGTTTACAGAGTTTCAAGCACTTAGTCAGGCTTAGGACGTACCCCAACCCCCAAAGTATGTAGAATAATAATATAGGGGCTTACATAATTACCAATATCATTGTGGGGTAAGGGGCCCCAAAACCCTGTTCTAATTATTAAGGCCCCTACATTAGCCTTCTACTGGGTTCGGCCATTCTTTGACCTACTTTTGGGGGTTTATGTAGGACTGCTGTGCCTGCCATACCCAAGCCTGAAGCTCGAACTCCTGAACCGACCACGAACTTTCCTTACACCGGTATAATATATAGGGGCCTTAATAATGGGAATAGGGTTTTGAGGCACATGATATTATAATTACAATTATAATAAGGAACCACCAAAAGAATGTAGATAATTATTAAGGCCCCTATAACGACCCCCCAAGCTCCGAACGTATGCGAACTCTCTAGCTTTATTTGCCTCCTGAGCCACCTCCTCCTGAATCTTTGCAGGAGGCTCCTCCGGGAGAGGTCACGATCTTTGCAATATTTATGGCTCGGGATTTAAATACAGTTCGGGGGTACTTGAACCTATTTCTGACCATCATGTTAGCACTCCTACAGCACTTGCAAGCTTAAAGCCTACAGCAGCTCAGCCACTTGGGCCGTGCGTATGCAGACTCACAGCATGAGCTGAACAACACCCTGCCAAGCAATGTAGGGGCCTTAATAATTAGGATAGGGTTTTGGGGCCCATTATACTAAAAGTATAGCAAGGAACCCACACAATAGTATTGGTATTTGTTTTTTTTTGGGGGGGTGTTCCTTATTACAATCATAGGATAAGATACCCCCAAGCCCTATTATAATTGTTAAGGCCCCTATATCATGCGAAGTAAGCAGGGCCCTCCTTCGGTGGGAGTTTGGCACACAGCTCGTCCTTGGCATTCCGAGCACAGCCAGTCAAAGGGTCAGTTGAGGGGGAGGCCCATCCTTAAGCACTCGTATTTCAAAAAGAAGCCGAATCATCGGAGGCTAGCTGCAGCTATAGATGAAAACAGCGCCAATCGGTTGCAAAGTGTCGAGCTTTTGCGATACCTTGGCGCTCTGCATGGAGAAGAAAGGCTCCTTCCAAAGAAGGCAGAGGAATGCTACCCATAGTCTCCAGTATTATAGTTCCTTTTCTGGCGTACCGAATTATGATTCAGGATCCTATAAGGCAAACCCCAAAAAGGAACTCAAGCCCGAGAAGTCGCGGTACTCCAGTAGCTAGCTTAGCAAAAAAACACGGTAAAAAAAGCATAACATTCATTAGGATCCCTTTCAGGTTTTAGGGTTTAGGGAGGATCGCCAGAACTTGCGAACGCATAGGTTTGTCAACAACTTCTACGCTGCACGTACAGTTGTGGGCCTTTGGCAGCAGCGTTGGCAGTTGATCTCCGCAGGACGGCGGTGCCTCGCAACAAGCTCGTCCCTGGTAACTGAAGGGTTTTAACTATGCTACGCTAGGCTAAGTGCAACGAACCCAAAGGACAAATTATTCAGGCCTCTGCATTAGACATTGTTGCGCACTGTCGTGCAGAGAGGCTTCTTCGGCAGAGCGTAGGCGGTCTGAGATGACTACGGCGACTTGAAGTTCTACAGTTTTTTCTACAGAGTCTAATTGTCAGAGAGTCTAAACTCTAAACCTTAGGCAAACAACGCTTCAACACAGCTTGTATGTGCCAAGAAGCGAAGTGGACGTGCTTCGGCTTGTTGAAAAGCGAAAGCTTCTCACCCGCAGCAGCACAAGACGCTCCTGGGCCATCAAGCTGTCACAACATGTGATGCTGGCTTCCCAGTCCGATCACACCGCTGACGTTCACCGCCTTTGCATTCCGTCGGATACTACCATAGGATCACGCCGCGACATCAACTGGCTGCGTGAAGTATGCCTGCGATGCACACTCCCTTTCCATTCGATCTGCTACTGACCTCCAATGATGAACCCACCAACTGACAAAGAAACTCATGGTAACTTAAATCTAACATCAAAACCTCACCTCCACATCCGAGTTCCTTCAGGGTCGGGCGCCAGACCCTAAACCCGAAATTGAAACCTAAAGGAAACCGAAACCCTAAAGCCTGGTAGCCTAATAGCCCAAAACTCTTCGAGCGGGGCACCTAAAAGCAAAAACTATACCCCCTAAACCTAAACCCTTCAACCCCAAAGCCAAAATCACTCCAATACTTCCAAACCCTAAAGCCCTAAACCCTAAAGCCCTGAACCTTAAACCCTAAACCCTAAAAGCCCCTAAGCCCTAAAACCCTAAAGCCCTGAACCTTAAACCCTAAACCCTAAAAGCCCCCAAGCGCTAAAGCCTGATCCCCCAAATCTGTTCGAGGTAGGACGCCGGAACCCGGTGGAGGCAGGCAACTCCGCACCAAGCCTTTCTCCACACGCTCGGACAAGGCCTGGAGGCGCCTGGGACGACAAGCAACTTTATTTCATGTCTTACAAAATGTGTATGTATGTATGTATGTATGTATGTACGTATGTATGTATGTATGTATGTATGTATCTATACATGTGTATATTATAGTGTTATAGTACGTTATAGTACATTATAGGTCATAATGGATCTTATAGTAACAATATATAGTCTACGTAGTTGTAGGATTCGTGCCCAAGACTGATGGGATGCATTGACGCACTGAAGTGTATAACAGGACTGCCATTGCTGCCAAGATGCTGCTCTTGCGTGTCCAGGTTCCTGGGATGGATACGAACGGCTGGGAAAAACTGCTGTAAGGTTAAGAAGGGTTTAGGGTTTAGGGTCTAGGGTTTAGGGTTCCCCCGGACTACTGCTGAAAGCCTTTAATGTTCTGCCATAAGGCTGCAGATAACACATGCATGAGCTTACACCAAGAATCTGGAAAAACCTCAAGCCCCTAAACCCTAAACCCTAAAGCCCTGGAAAACGTGGCAGACTGCTACATCGCCTGCAAGCCTGGGCACGTTCTCGTGAGATCCAGGCGCACCTCGCCGACTCAGCAGCGAGGCTTCTGACTTGCTTAGGGTTTAGGGTTTAGGGTTCAGGATTTAGGGTTGACTTAGGGTTTAGGGTTTAGGATTTAGGGTTTAGGATGTAGGGTTACCGCTGCTCTGCTTCCTTAAGCCTTTTGCTGCCCAAACCCCTTAGACACAAGCCTGAACTAACCTGAAACCCTTGGCTGCCCCGCGAGCCAAAAGTCCCAAACTCTAAATCCGAAGCCCGAAACTTCCTTAACCTCAAACCCTTGCAGTAACCCTCATAGGAACCCGAAGCCTGAAAACCTTCATAGTAGCCCTTACATTCATTTCAGTGCGCGTTTAGGAAATCCCAAACCTTAAACTCTTTCAGTAAACCTTCTGATAGCCTTTGTGGGAGCTTTTTCAAGGAAACTTGACAGGAACCTTAGTCCTTCTGGTTATCAACCTCATGTGAACTTTGTAACGGAACCCTCAAACCCTGACCCTTATGGTAGCCCTTGTATGAACCCTAAAAGGATCAAGGATCCCCAAAAAGAACGCATAAACTGCAACCGTTATGAAGGAAAAAGCAACAGGGACACTTTCCAGGAATCCCAACAGGAACGCTCCGACTTAAACCAGAGGAGCCCTAAAAAGGGTCACTTCGCTAAATGCCCTTAACCCCTAAACCCTAACCTCCCTGAAACCCTACAACCCTAAATGCTGGCAACCCTAAATGCCCCAAATGCCCGAAATGCCCTAAATGCCCTAAATGCCCGAAATGCCCTAAATGCCCTACATGCCCCAAACCCCCACTAAAACCCTAAATGCCCTAAAACCCCGGAGCTGGTTTCGCCTCGAAGGCTTCGGTTTTGGCCGAGCACTGAGCGCACTGCTTACCCAGGCCTTAGGACCGTTTTCGGGCTCCGATGGTCTATAAGGGTCCCTGTAAGGGATCTAAGGTAGATGGTTTAGGGTTTAGGGTTTAGGGTCGGACCAGGATTTTGGCTGCTAGATGAAGGGTACTATAACCATAGGCCAGTACTGACAATCAAGCATGCAGCCTGAGGGAAACCGGTTCTGAACGAAAGATTGACATCTTGCTCCCCCGGTGCGAGTATGACAGGGTGGAGGTAGACAGCGTCGCAGTCCAAGCTTTGAAGTGACCAGAGAGAAAAAAGCATAAACTTGTATTTCGTGACGGTTCCTTTCAGGAACAGGTGCCGCAAAAACACTACAGTATGGTACTCCAAACCCAGGCAGTAGAAACCTATCAAAGATGCATGCAGCACGCAATGATGGCACCCAGTCACTAAGTCTAGGACCCATGCCTTCGGAGGTAGCCAGAAAGTCAAGAATCCATCCCCAAACAGGCAGCCCCAACCCTAAATCTTAAGACCCTATAAACCCTAAATCCGAACTTCTCAACGCCACACCCTACCTGGACCCCCCAACTACCCTCTAACATACCCTAGATTTATCCACTATTAAGGGCCATAAACGCTCTATTAAAGGGCCCTTGGGGGGTCCTGGCAAACCCCAAGCCCTCAACGTTAAAACCTCCTGCTCCTTGCCAGGTGAGGGTCGCTCCACGTGTGCCTTCAACTCCGGGACAAGGCTTGCAACTTGTCGCGTCTGCCTTGTGATTCAAGAGTTTGGGTTTGGGGGTTGGGGTTTAGGGTTTAAGACTTATAGAGGGCAGGCAACCTTTGAAGGCTTTGAGTTTTGAGGTTTCAGGGAAATGTTTAGGGGGTGCGGACTGGGGTTTCAAGGTTTGGGGAGTAGGGTTCCTGTCGAGCCCCACAAGAAGATAACAGAGAGCTCGGGGCGTACACGAACATCAAAGTAGAGAGGTTTGTACATAGATGCACCTTGACAAGTGGATTCCACAATGGCAAACTGAATAACAAACTCGCCATTCGCTGTTGCAATCCTTTATCAACCTGTGCATGCTTGCTGGCTCCGTACCCTGCTTTTCGTCTCTAAGTGCTTCCTACAGATGCCAATGTACGATGCACATGCTGCACACTTGCATCATCCGCACATCCATCCCTCCATCCGTCCGTCCATCGATACATTTATCCGTACATACACACAAAGATGTGCATGCATGCATGGATACATCCATGCTTGCTCGGTTGCTTGCTCATCTACCTAGTACCAGACACCCTTTGGCCGATAAGCCGCTGGATACATGTTGAGGGTGTCGGGCTCAGGCTTCCTGTCATGAAGCTTACGACCGTAAACCAAGTTGCGAAAGATTGCGCTCATCGACGATCTCTGCCAAATCCTGAATGCAATCGACATCAATGCTCTCAAAACACGTGGCCATGTTGACTGTCGACAGCGCAAGGTACACACTGACTTGTTACTCTTGTTCTGGACGAACAGTGTGTTGCCAAACCTTGCCCAAAGCACAGGTGTCGTCTGGTTCGTCCTAGTAGGAGCAGCTGATGCTCAAGTCTAGACTGGTTGTAGCTGGTATAGCCGTGGGGCCTGGTGCCGTCGCTGCCTTTCAGAGAGTTACGGAAACGTGCAGGTGCAGCACAAACGACCAGCAGCCAATTATCAAAGTAACAGTTGTACTATCACAAGTGAGTGACATCAGGAGCACGACCGCTGTTCAGAGTGCCTGAACAGAATCAGAACCCTGGATATGTTGAACTTGTGGCGAAGTGGTCAGGGTCCTCAAGGCGCCCGCGCAGCTCCAAAATCGCTTTGGCTGCAGGTTCCACTTTGACACCTCAGGGATGCTACTTGGAGGTTCATGGGTGATTATAAGTTGGGTTATAAGTAAGGTATCTGTAATTATAACCCATGTTAGGGGACTTATAACCCCAGTTACAACTACCCATCAACCTCCAAGTAGTAGCTTTTCTTTGGCAATGACCTCCCGAAGCCGTACCCGAAAAGCAGCTCTGACATGGAACAGCCCCCAGCAAGGAGGAAAGAAGGGTGGCTCCCGATAAACTCTGAAGGTGGAGGAGCTTCGGAGTTTGCGAGATCAGCACATCTTGCACAACCCAAAGCCATGGAAACCCACTACAGGGGCCTTAATCATTAGGATAGGGTTTTGGGGCCCATTGTACCATGATTACAAGAAGGACCCCCCCCCCCCCTCAAATTAGTATTGGTAATTATTTGGGCCTTTTTAAGCCCCTATATCACACGACTGCCGGAGGCTTCAGTTGACGCCTTAACACTGAGCTGGGAGAGATCCCGGGATTGAAAGGATCCCGCCCTGTACCAAATCAAGCATCAGGGACAGCGACTCCAAACTCTAGACCCCGAAACCCTAAAACCCTCAACCCCTCAACCCTAAAACCCTAAACCCTAAAACCCTAAACCCCAAAACCCTAAACCCGAAGCCCTAAAGCCCTAAACCCTACATCCTAAACCATACAATTTCCTGAACCCCTAAGTGAAACCATGGCCCTGAAGGTCTCACGCTGCGCTGCCTTCAACGATGGGCGCTTCCGCCTGCATCGTCTGCTGTGCACTACTTGGAGGTTCATGGGTAGTTATAAGTGGGGTTATAGGGTTCCTTTGAGGGTTCTGTAGGGTTTAGGGTTTAGGGTAGTTATAAGTGGGGTTAAAAGTAGGGTAACTGTAATTATAACCCATATTTGGGGGAGTTTTTGCCCCAGTTATCACTACCCATGAACCTCCAAGTAGGACGAACTTTGCTGAGACAAGTACATGCGCCTAGGAAACGACCGTACAGCTGATGCTGCAAAAGCAGTGAACTCCTTTTCAATGGAGGAACCGGTGAGTCCACAGTCTGAACTTTGATGATCAGTACGGCTGCCGTCGTTCTAGTCTTATGACTGTGGCTATCTTCGCGACCACTGCTGCTGCGGCTGCCGTTATTCACGAGCGTTCGTATCATGCCTGTTAAGGTTGTTGTGTTTGTCTTCTGTTTCTTGGGACTTTCATTGCTGGCTAATACTATTACTTGCCGTTTCTCTATCAAGCTCCTACCGGAAGCTCTGCCACCCCGCCCCGGGCAGGCCCACCTCAGGCTCTGGCGCCCTCAGACCACTGCGGAGATCCTGGAGAAGGGTTGTGAATAACCCTTAATTAAGGAATATACCTTAAATCATATTAGGGGTCCTACTATAATTTAAGGTATATTCCTTTATTAAGGGATATTGGAGTCTCTGGGGTTGCATAGGCTTCCCGGGGGCTTCAGGATTTCAGGTGCTGGTGCCACGGTGATGAACATGGCGAACGAGTGCTTGAACTAAAGAGTTCGAACAGACGCACGAGCTTATAAGTCGCAGCATGATATCATAACTGTGATCAACTTATGAAGCAGTAATATGGCCGCATGGCTTGCGAGTTTGGGTTGAAAACTTCGGATTTAAGTTTCTGGTTGCATCATGCGCAAACCTGCGCAACTTTTCGCTTAGGTCATGTTCCCATCTTGCCTGCTGCTAAGGGTTTCGGGTTTCTGGCCAAGGGCCCAAACCCTAAACCCTAAACCCTAAACCCTTTAGGAACAGTCTTGGTGTCCTGCTGGTACCACCCAACAGGCTAGAGCAACTCGGACCGGGCAAACCGCAGCAAGCTGACGTAAGAAAGCCTCTAAGCCCGAAGCCAGCGGACATTGTGTAATGCTCTAAACTCGAGTTTTGACGAACCCAAAAGAAGGCGGCACCCTGATTAAAACAGTATGGTGCGCCCTTTCTCTAAGAAAAGGAACCTGAAAGGGACCCGAGTTTAGAGGACTATCCACATGTTTATAACGCAGGGTAATCGAATACCCGATTCGACAGCTGAGTCCACCCGTGTTTAGAGCAGGCAGGATGGCTATGTATGATGGCTCCTCCATCTCGCGCCGCAGCTCTGGCAATTTGGCAGCACCCAGCTGCTCCTGGGATGTGGGGGCTTGGAGGGTTTAGGGTTTAGGAATAATAATCATAGGGTTTTAGGGGTTCGTTTATTATAGTTATATAGTTATTATAGTATATCCCAAACCCTATTCTAATTATCAAGGGTTTAGAGTTTCAGAGCTCAAGATGCTCAGGGTCTGGAGTGGAGGGAATGTCATGTGAAGCTCATGAATCGTAAGTTCGTAGGGCTTCGAAATTTCAGGGCTTGTAAGATTTAACATCTAATGCCATTGAGGGGTTGAAGGCCGTATTTCGGTTTACTTCAGATATTGGGAGTGTCCGATAATTAGGGGTACCTTGTTTTGGGGGTCCTTATAATAAGGGTCCTACTATTTAAGGTGCTATATTAGGGTCCCCTATTTTCGGAAACCCCCATGTGGGGCAAGTCGAGCCTCCAACTTGCATTGGGCCTAGGGGTTTAGGGTTTAGGGTTTAGGGAGTTTACTTGGAGGTTCAGGGGTAGTTGTAAGTGAAGTTATAAGTAGGGTAACTATAGTTACAACCCATATTAGGAGACTTATAACCCCATTTATAACTACCCATGAACCTCCAAGTAGGGTTCAGGAGTAGAGTCAAAAATTGAAACTCTTACAGTATCCCTTGCAGTAACCCTCCTAATAATCCTTGGTGAGCTCTAAATCCCAAGCCCTAAACCCCAAAACCCTGCAACCCTACGAGCCCTTTAACGCACCCACAAAGCTCAAGAGCTCTCACCGTTGCACCCGAAAGCCCGAAACCCGTGGCTCTCCCAAAGAGCCGAATTCCCATGAAATAAGGACTATACCTTAAACCATACTTTCTTAAGGCCCCGAGATTAAAAGGTGACTATCCCTTAGAACATAATTTCTTAATAACTTCAGGCCCCGAGATTCTAAGGTATATTCCTTAGAATTAAGGGGTATAGAACCCCCTGGGCTCCACAGCACAGCCCGGAAAGGACCTCCAGGCGCGCCAGCTGGGATGCCAGAGCTTCCATCGCTGGGCCTGGGAGGAGCTGGATTCGGGAGCTGCCACAAAAAGTTTAGGGTTAGGGTTTAGGGAGCTGCCACAAAAAGGCCTCCCCAGCGAGTAGAGTAAAGCGTTTTGGGATCTTACTAAAGTGCCTTTGATAACTAGATTGGAGCCTTTGGGATCCTATTGTAGTGCCTTTAATAACTAGATGAAACCCGTTGGGATCTCATTACAATGCTTTAATACCTAGATCAAGGCCTTTGGAATCGTATTATAGTGCCATTAATAATTAGTTTGAGCCCTTTGGAATCCCGTTATAGTGCCTTAAAAATTTGATTTAAGACCTTTGGGATCTTATTATACTTATTATAGTGCCTTTAATTACTAGAACTGGCTGCGAGAAGGGTTCTTGTAAAGGTTCCGTTTTCAGGGGTTACTAAAGCTTAGAATAAAGGAGCCTTTAACAACTCTGATGGGGTTTTGGTGGTATGTTCTATGATCGTGTGTTTATAATACGGAGCCCTGGCTCCTACATGATGGTGGTCGACAGCACAAACGTGATGAAGTTCAGCGGTTGAGATACCATAGTGTTTCGGACAGAAGCTCCTGCGCAAAACAGTGTGGCTTCATCTAGGCATCGCAGCGTTTAGGCGTGTGGAGTTGAACCTGAGCTCTAGGTGAGGACAAGGGGATTCAGAGCTCAGGGCTTTTGCAGCCAGTGCTCTTCGGAACTTTGACTTCGGGTCTCTACTACAGGTCTACTGCTACGTTTCTGGTATTGCAAGTACGGCTACATCACTACCTACAGTCTCCATTGTAGTCCCTTTTTTGGTTTAAACAATTTTGATTTAGGATCCTGAAAGGGAACCCCGAAAAGGAACTACAATGGAGACTATAGGTACTATGATGATCGACGGTGTGTGAGCGCACCTGAATCCGACTTCACGGGCGCATCGTCCTCGGGTGCTGCAGATCCTGCGTTCATTGTCCATGAGGCGAAAATGGCCATGGAATTTGTGTCTGGAATCAAGGTTAGAGGATGGAGGGCTCTGACATTCTTTGCGTAGGTGCTTTCCTTGTCTACATGTCCCAGGTGGGACCAAAGGCTAATTCCATGGCGCTTTCCGACAAGGAATTGCCGTTGTGACAAGTGCTGACCACGGTTCTACCCAAAACTTGAGAATGCTCTGCACAACCGTTCAAAGCATTCACAGACCAGCCTCGCAGCACCTCCCGGTAATTGATGTAAATCTGAATTCCTCATGCTTTCCTTTAAATGTCCAGCATGTCCTGCCGCTCCTCCGAACAATGCTTCCGCCACTGCTGCGCCCTGCCTGGTCGTTTTGTGTAGCGAGCCTCTACAGGAACGGGGGACACCCAACATGGTGAAGGGGAAAACAACAAATCACACATCGTGCGAAAACACGAAGTGGTTCACAATCGTGCATTCCTCGTCGAAGACACCTCTGGACGAATGGAGCTGCACGCAATTTATGTTTCCTACTTTGGCCACGTTGGTTTTGTTGAAACCATAACTTACGTAGGGGCATTGGAGATCTAATTCAGGATCCTACTGCCCGTGGTCTAAATTAGCGGAGCATTATTGTCTGAAATGCCCGCGTGCAAGCAGAAGCTGCTATAGCCTCTGCAAGAAGCCCTCAACCCTAAACCCTAAACCCTAAACCCGTCGAAGCTGCTTTGCCGCCCTACCTTCCTAGCGGTTTGTGCCTGGAAAATTCCTCATACCCGTGCTTAGAGTAAGTTCCTTCTTGCCATGATCACTACCCTAAAGTAGTTCCTTTTTGGGGTTCATATTTAGAATCCTATTAGGGAATCCCAAAAGGAACTACTTTAGGGCCCCTGGGTACTCCTATGGCCCAGTACAAGTACTGGCAGCAGTAACTAGTGGAGTTTTTCCACTCTAAAATCATGATAAGCATGCTGACTTGTCTGCACAGGGCAAGCTGCAGCTCAGCCATAGCTGTGTCGAGGTCCTGCGCAGCGAACATGACATGTTTACACAGGGTGCAGGATTTAGGATCACATGATCTTGGATCCACCTCTGATTCATATAAACGTCGTTGGGGAAAACTTCGTTCAACACCACACAAACGGAAGTCTTGCGATGAGGGGCTAAAGGTGTTGAATCGTTTCAACTGGGTCTGAAACTGGTTGCAAGGTTCTTGGCTCGTAAAGATCGTAACGGGCTCTTCTTAGATGCACCCTACCTATAGTCTCCATTGTAGTTCCTTTTGGGGGTTACCTTATAGGATCCGAAACATAGAATTGGTTAAACCAAAAAAAGGAACTACAATGGAGACTATAAGTAGACCCCAAACCTCTGCTTGAGCCAAAAGCTTACCTCGTGTCTGCTCGGGGAGCCCACGTCCGAGCGGGGCTCTCGGAAGTCATACAGAAACAGGCATTAACTACGATAATCATAATAATAATAATGATAATAATAGTAATAGTAATAATAATACTAATAAGGGCTCTATAATATGGAACCCTTATGATGGAAAGGTTCCATGTTAAGGGTTCCCCATGTTATGGGGTAAGGGTCAGGGTTTTGGGTTCTTGAGGTTCTGGGCCGGAGAACGGTTTAGGGTTTTTTTTTTTTTTTGAGCGCCTTTTTCCTCCCGTCAGAGCATCTTTCAGGCGGAATCCGCTGGGCGGAAGGCTAGTGTTACTGCCCCTTCA